TATTTTCAAGTATTTATTATTAAGCAGCTTGTCTAGAGGGTATTTGTGACGTTCAGGTTACGTTGTTTGAGTATATGCGGCTACTGCATGCTATCATCCGTGAAGGGACAGTTGATGAAAGTGAACACGGAATCAAGCTTCCTATCAAATCAGTAGGAAGACTGAATTGTTGACAAGAAAATTGGCCTGAGCTAATACTGTAAACAGATAGAAAGAAGCGTCACTTTAGCTTCCATAATTTCTATCTTTTAGATGTGGTGATCATCTTTCGAGGTCCGGAGTGACACCGAAACATGGATTCATTATTTGCTTAGTGCTGTGCTTACAAGAGGAACAAAGTATTTGATAAGAAAAACCAAGAAGAAGGCTATCATGCCCACAGAATAAGAAAGGAGAATGAACTTTTGTCAGAAAAAGGGAGGGAAGTAAAGTGTTTAACTTTTAGGTAACTTTCTATCTGTAACGAATTCAAAAAAACACCCCCTTGATTTATTTGCAGAAGCCCATTAAAGTCAGTCCAAATGGTCACTGCAACTCAACACCTCCAAGATAATTACGACGAGCAGTTGTGTACAGATATTTTTTCACTATTATTATTCGCTAAAATGTGGTGAGAGCTGGCTGCTAGCCAAAGTTGGCAGACAGTAATTTACGTCAATGTTTATGTCTCCGATATTGGTCGTGAGAAAAATGAGAACAAAGTCTTTGCGTAGGCGAACACAGTTAACATATAGGTGATCTGATATTCAAGAAACATCCGCAAAGAGATGAAACATTAACTTTCAGTGAGAAGCAACCAATGAGAAGACTGCGTCTCATGCTAACAATAATCTATAATAATGTGTATGAAAATCTATAAATATTTGTTGATTTCGTAAATAAACGATCTTTCGCCTGGCCCTTGTCTTCTGTTGTTACAAATATACCTAACATCCTGCTAACCATACTTTTCTTATCCTATCTGGGTGAAAATAAATTTCTCAACATAACGAGATGGGGACTTATCAGTGAGACAAACAGTGAGTCAAATAGTGCCACGACTGCTGCAGCTCATGAAGATATCATGTCGAATTATACGGTGACACCCGTAGTCATACAGATTAATCTTATATGATATAAGAATGCACCACAGTGCTAAAGTTCTATTCTTATATTCCAAATGCATAAGTTAGTTTTTTTTCTGACTGGTCCCTACAGATTCACCCACGGCTAGGAGACGTAATCGCATAACTTTATGCAGATGCTGAAGCTTGACTATATTAACTGTAAGTCACCACCTATATTAATCGACAGTGTTCATGCAGGACTACACTTACGTATTGCGACAAGTTCATATCCAAGGGAGTACCGGTCTAGCATGCCGTACTCCCACTGCAAGCATATCAGGTAGAACACGAGAATATTATATAAAAAGTTTCATTTCACTGCTAAGCGAACAGGTTTATTTACATATATGGGCAGAGCGCAGTCCCAGATGGAAGTCTGCGTTTGGGAAGTATCTCCCGTTATTCGACCGAAACTGCCCAGTACCCAAATTGTGTCATTTTTAAATTCTTCCACGGTTCAAGCACACAGATCTGTACGCCCACATCCGAAGTTATCCGGCGCCACAAACTGGAACAAAGAATATCTGCATGGTTATAAGTGGAACATAGGGCTTCAAGCTAGAAGGCTTGAAGCTTCTGTAGCAGTGTTTATTTTTACAGGATGGGGTTGCTAGCCTCATGCCCAACCTTTCCTCTTTAACAGCATTATTTCTGGTTCAGCGAGGTAAAGGAGTGCGTCAGCCGGGGATCAAACCCCGGACCATGTGCATGGTCGGCGAGCGTTATAACCGCTATACCACCGACGCACGCATGGTTATAAGTGAGTGAGTGAAATTCCCTTCCCTTGCTGTTGTGTGCACAATTCATTCTTACAACTGATTTTGCAAGTCTACCTGGTGATAAGTCGTAAAACGCTCGTCAGCGTATTTCGGATGTATTTGTGTGGATCCGACTTACTCTGTTTCCCACTGATTTTAACTAACCGTAAGACCTCATTGCGACTTGACATTCCTAAAAGTGATACAGACTGAATTCACTTATATAAATCAAGCGTTTGCATGACTATATATAACTATTCAATAGATTCAGCTGTCATAGTTTGGACTTCTTTTGAAATGTGGAGCACATCATGTAAATTTATATGTTCATATGAAAATATAAATTATTATTGTAAGTGATGCGGAAAATATCACGAAAATTGCTCACATACAATATCACTAACTGCTGGCAACTTTGATATCGAACCATACTACAAGAATATATTTATCATTACTATGTTTTTCGTCTGAGGAACAACAATATTAGAGCAAAACAAACAGATGAGACGAGAGTTCCACAAAGTTGTCCCACTATACAATGTTTCGTTCGCCAATTTTTCGTCTGCATATAAACGCAAAAGGTGAACACTTAGCGATCTATAAGGTTCCCGCTTTTTGAAAGTCTTCCAGTGCGTTCTCAGCCTTTAGCATTTTTGCTGCTACCACTCGCACTGACTAGCAACGATAAACTTCTAATAAAGACTTTTTTAACGAAGACCGTTATTGTCACAGTCAGTTCTCAAGAAACACAGAACATTAGACCACGTAAGTGAGAAATATATTGTACGTGTAATCACAACCCATTGAATTGTAAGCACTGTTAACCACCATAACGACTAACCAGTCTCAAGAAAGTGTACAACGACAAAAGCGCTGTGTCTGTATAAAAAACGGTGAAAAAAGTTTTTTGTATTTATATTTATCATAGCCGTTTACCAACTACGCATAACACAACCGCACAAAACGTACATTACGGCATCTACCTACGGAAAACCAAAGATCCACTTGACCGTTACTGCTCCATCCAATGAAAGACGAGAGGACCAGAAGCGAGGTAAACCTTAACCACAGCAGCATTTATCCATACTCTGCAAAACACACTCTCTTGACGAGCTGTATTGGTGATTGAGTTAAACCAGCATCATTTCCGTTACAGTGAATCAAAGTTACGACAGTCGGGTGGTGGGACGTTCTATGCAGAAGTTTAACAAAGACCAGGAACCTTCATCTTACCACCAAAAAACGAGCACAAACAAATCAGTCTGACCTAGCTTGTGAAAACGATAATGGATTCGGGGAAACTGTATCGGGAGCGAAAAAGAGCCATCCTTTCTCCAAGGCAAAATTCCACTAGTTATACACCAGTAGCTCTACTCCCAATGGTATCAAAAGTACTGGAAAGTATTATTGACTATTACATCAGGGAATACCTTGGTAGGTCTAATATACACCATGAAGCCCGACATGGTTTCAGGAAAGGCAGACCCCGTGTAACAAACCTACTAACAGCTTGGGACGATTGGACATCATGCTGAGATATGAATGGTGTTTAATGAATGTGGTCTTCCTAGACTTTAAGAAGGCATTTGACGCCGTTTACCATGACCTCAAACACAAAATAAGCCAGGCAGGTATAGGTAAGCTACTTCTGTTATGGTCAAACGACTACCTAGCTTAAAAAGAAAATTTTGCAATAACATCAATCGGGTCCGATCGCCTTGTCACAGCCCTTCATCAGGAGTGTCGCAGGGCTCCATTCTATGACCACTGATATTTTGGATTTTTGTCAATAATCTACCATGCCGTCCAAGCTGCCCGACTCTTCCATACGCTGACAACGTAAAGATATGGAGGGCGACAAAGTGTCCGGAGGGCTCAGATAGGCTGCAGGCAGATCTAAAGCTTCTGGAGGACTGGGCGGTGGCCCGTGACATGACTTCCAACCTGGAAAAGTGCAAAGTAGTGAAGCCACACCCCTGTAGACTGCAGAATGCCAGTTACAACTTGTGCAATGAAGACTTGTCCTACACAACGTCGGAACACGACTTAGGTCTAGTTCTAACGGAAGAAATGGACACAAACGTAAATTAGACGGGGGACGGCGCGGTCATACACTTGACATACAGACAGTTAGGTACACCCACTCCTGAGTTCTTTCTAAGGTCGTGCATAACATACGTCAGACCACACCTTGAAGCGCATAATATTATTGCACCACCACCTCTTGGAAAGAGTCCAAAGACGGGCAACAAAAGGAGTGGTTGGTCTCCAAAACAAACCATATGATGAAAGGCTGAAGATATTAGGCTTATTCACACTTAGCTACCGACGGCTCAGGGGGGATTTAATTACTGTCCAGAAAATAACAAATGACCAGAATCACCCAAACAAAGTTGTTCTGCTATTGTGTAGGTACAGGCTCCCAAGTGGAAATCCCAGAAGGATAGCTCACCAGAGGGTAAGGACCCGGGTGCGCTCCCACTTCTTTTCACTGCGGGTTTGCCGTCCCTGGAATTCATTACCGGCAGATAAGGCCACGGAACCGTCTGTGGACGCTTTTAGGCGAAGGCTGAACAGTCATGCAGAGAAACAAGGACTGCGCCCAAATGGCCTATCCGCTTAAAATCCCATGCACCATTCCGAGGGTAGACAATTAAGTTCGTCGTTTTACTTCTCTACATCCTCTCCCCTCTTACTCTTCTGACAACCGTAAATACACTTATTATTATCATTATTACCTATATATATTATTTATATTCTTCAAATTTAATTAATTTACGTTTTCTTTATTTCTTTTTCTGTGTTAGTCTGAATAACTTCACTAATTATACCTATTATCATCCCTTTTCTTTTGACGACGATACCGAAGGACTAACTGGTGAAAGGATAAACTCCATTCACAGTAGTAAGTAAGTAGTAGTAGTCTTAACACACCTCATACTAGAAACCACATATAATTAGTCCGAGTACTGCTCCTTCTGGAGTCAACGGAAGCTACGACATTCGAGTAGCGAGACAAGCTAAGCAGAAGTTTACCGAAGATCGGGAACCTATACCTCACAATGAGGAGGCCAGCACGAAGAAATCAGATTGGTACATACTAGCTCGTAAAGACGATATTGGATATTGGATATTAGAGGCACCTAATTTGACTTCTGCGTCACTATAAGTGGTGGGTGTGGTAAGCGTATATTTGGTTGGACCATGCATTCAGCAATAAGATAACGCATTTTAATTTTAATTTGGGTAACTGTAAACTACAGCAGCCCGAAAAGAAACTACTTCTAGCGACCAATTATATTCACCAGAAGTCGTACTTCGCGAAGTGCGCGTCAGCGCTACTCTCAGTACTGCTTCCGCAGGTGCTTTTTTATGCCCTCCCTTAATATTTTCACTTTACTTTAGGTGCTTAGCATTAGATTGTATTACCCACAGAGCATGCTCATTGTTAACCAATGATTTTTATCATTGTGGTTTTTGAGGCATTTCTCCAGAATCTAAGTACCTTTTATTTCGCTTGTATCTACGCACAAACTATTATTGAAATGTCCCGTACCTAACCGTTGCAATTTCCTCGTGTTTTGTACTCGAGGTGATTATCTGGCTCTATAGATAACTCTCCATGAGTGTAAAATTTGGCTAACTGGTTTTAGTTCTTGTCTGCTGTGAGGCAGCAAAATTAAACTAATTCACAGTTACGTACGTGTCGTTCATATGTCAAATATGGTACAGTATTACCTGGTGACTCAGGCGAGGTTAAAAATGTAGTAACTGATTAATGTGATAGGTTTTGTAGCAGTAGGTAACGTATTTGGAGTTCCTGTCTGCTACAAATGCATAGCTTGTGGTATTTTTAACAAAATTCCTAGATGTTACAGTTAGTTAACATTCGTTATTACAGCACAATTGGAAATGTTTTCACAAAATTTTATGTGGAAAGTATTCAATACCTTTCATGGTTAAATCAGGCTCCTTGAATATTACTGTTCTAAATATTTTTGCATTTTTGGATTGATGTTTGTCTTTCTTTCAGGTCGGTGCGATCAAGTTCGTGTACTCTGATCCTCAAAAACCTTAATTAGATTCCTGCTTACAATGGCCTTCGGATTTCTCAGAGGCATACCACATTCTGTAACTATTTCGCTTAACCTTCTCCTTTGTCTGCTAACAGGTTTCCTTCATTTCCCAATTTCGACTATCTTTTTAGACTTATCAGTTCAAGTCACATGTGAAGTATTTGAGCTGGATAACAGGTATGGTAGGTGGCTTTGTCAGATGGAAAATCTGTAACTTTACAGGTTCATTGACTTTATTGATAAAGGCCCTTGGCTTGTTCAGGTAGTTAACCTTTATGAGTAACTCATATTTTTAGTTCTATGCCCCATGGTGTGGTTTCTGTCGCCGTCTCACTAGTACATACGAAGAAATGAGTAGATTACTTATTCATATGGAACCTTCCATCAAAGTTGCAAGACTTGATGCTACAGTCTATACAGGAATAGCTAAAATGTTTGACATAAGGGGATTTCCTACCATCAAATAGTAAGTATGTTAGGGTATTTCTCATTCATCTTGTTTACCACTAATCTTATTCCGATGTATTCTCAAATATTTATCTATATAACTGTTCTGCCCTACTGTTCTTAAAATGTCGTTGGATTATTCCAAAATTAAAATTACCAGTTTCAATCTTATTTATAAGTCTGTTTATGTCAATTGTGGTTAAATGTCTTTTTTTAAAATTTTTTGTTCGTTCAAGTATTAACAGTACAGTGACTTACACGTTCATGGGCGATCGAACTGTGAAAGGTCTGATAACTTTTGCTCAAAGAGCTAATGGGTATGTTTAAAATTGAAAATTTTATTTTTCATGATGTGATCATTAAACAGCTTTAGTGCAATGTTGTAGTATAGTGGTATTGTACTAGTGGTGTACTGTTGGTATTGTAATTCATCGTGTTTTCCATCACTTCCAGAGTCTTAGTCTATTGTGTCCGATCATCTCAGTGACATCTTGGGTAGAAATGTAAGTGCTAAGCCGCATAATAAAGATGCGGAAGTATACAGCCATACTTGTAAGGGAAATTTATATGATATTACTTATGAAGCCGGCGCGTGGTACTCAAAACAGTGGAAGTTTCTTTCATTTCTGCTCGATATCGAATAGAACAATTAACGACAGCTAACACACACTTAGGAATGAAGAGAATTTCCTTCCATCAAAGTCAAAAGGGATAAAGAATAAAAAGTAATAGGTTTATGTATAGAGCGTAAAAGTTGGTTTCAGGCTTGTTGGATTACTACCATTACATTCATATGTCCTTTAGACTAAATAATTCTCTTTAATTATTACAATAACATACACCTGGTCACTACCAATTAACCACTTTTATGAGAAATCTACACTTTTTTTCAAACCTCTCGACTGCGGCAAGCCTGGTGTTCTCTCCAGTTCTCACTCACACTGTCAAACAAGCTGATAGCAAGTGTCTTAGTTTTAACGTGTTTGGCGTTCAGTCTCATCACCAGTTCTCTTACTTTTCTGTGTTCAGTTAAAGTACAGATTTGTGCCACTAACTGTCTTGCAAAACATGCCTCATACCACTTTGAAGTTCATGGATTTACTGAAGATTATTTCTCTCTTGCTGCTATGTTTCAAAAGTGCCTGCATTATTACTAGTTAAATAATTACCTGTAATTGTTGAAATATAGTGAGAGGGGAATTCTGTGTAATTTACTACCATATGCAGTTGCACTGAACTAAATCATATGCGACGTTATTACGGTATCTCAAGGTGATAATATACTACTGATTGGTATGAATAGTTGAATGTCACTCCCTCTCTCTTTAATATGACAAATTAAACTCAGTGATTGTCGAAGTACACAATTTGAGTTGTAATTCGACTATAGTTTCCTTCGGAAGTGCGAGCTACGTAGCACTGTTAAATGTGCTAAGAAAGCAGGCAAAATACGTAACACATTACATGTGCGTCGGTGGCACAGTGGTTAGGACTCTCGCCGACCATGCACATGGTCCGGTGTTCGAGCCCGCACCGACGCACACCTGATATCTATGGTCGGCCTGCAAAATTTGATTTACCGATACCCATGCTGAAAATTCCGTACTTGTACCGAGAATACAGTGTGGAATCAAGCTGTAAATAAAAAATAAAAAATAATGATTCACATAAGTAGTTGGGGTTCATTCACGATAAGCATTGGTCTTAGTGCGTATGGTGTTGCGTATTTCGCTTATTTTATACCGTTCATGGTGTTAAACAGATTATATTATTATGTGAAAATCCTCAGTTTCCAAAGTAAACCGTAGTGAAAATTCACCGAAAATTGTGTATTTTGAAAACGATTAGTTGCATTACGTATGTCGTCAGTCCTATTAGTTTGTGAGCCAAGTCTAAGCACGTCGTCGATAAGCTCTGACCAAACGAACGAAACAGCCACGCTGTTCGTTGTCTCTATTTTGCATTTCTTTTTACTTTCTTCCATGGCTTTGTGTACTGAGTGAAATGTGGCGACTCGAACTGGTGCACATCGGTGCGAAGTTCTGTATTGAAACCAGTCAGTCAGACAGCCACGCTTTGTGTAGACCACCTAGTTATTAAGATTAAGTCTTTAATTGTTCATGTCAATCAGTAGTATGTATGTTGCTGCTTCTTTGCCACCGATCTCAACCGGTTAACAATGAATCTTCAATTTTTTCTAAAATGGAAGCTAAATTATGATTTTAATTATTATTATAGTAATAATAATTATTATAATTATAATAATTTTTTCACTACTGGCGACTGAAAGTTAATAACAGGGTGCAGTAACTAGTGCTGCATAGTCTTAGGGAAAGTGTTAAGCTCCAGACTTCACCTCTGCTCGACTATTTTCATTGCACCAGTAAGACTTCATTGAAAGAATTATCTGTTTCAAGTGTTTTGTTATAGGTTTGCAGTTAAACATTGTGGTTTATACTTTCGCTTTATTTCATTTTTATCAGGAAAAGTTTCGCTGTTTTTCGCTTTTATAGACCGGCAGTAAAACATTTTGAAGAAAAGCACAAGTTTGAAGAACGTATAAAACAACTAGATTCAGATGAACCATTTTTCTTCCTGCTTACTTCAACAAATTCTGTTTTAAAAGTGAGATGCTGGGCCCATTGTGTGTATATGCTAATAAATAAACATGTAAAGATATGGCTCACTGATTTAAACACTCGAATTTCAGTCAGTAGGTTCAAACTTCTCTCCACCTCATACGGTAACTAGTTTACAGCCTGCTACATGAGAAGTTCTCATTAAAAAGATGCTTATAATAAAAATTAGTCACATTTATTTATTAAATGAAGTAAGGCATGTTATCGGTTATGTACGTACCGCTAGGGATCAGTGGATGAGTAATTTGACTATACCAGCAGATACACTTATCAAGAACCTTACATCCTCTTCGCACTTTAAATCAACACCCACTAATCTAATGGATAAGTGTTATACTTCACTTTAACCACAGTAATCAGATCCCATAGAACGAATAAGATTTGGGAAGTAACCCAGTGTACACAAATTTCTGTTACATTATGTGACTTTAATATAATATCGATCAACTCAACTGTTTTACTCTAAAGTCCACGGCTTACTAACTCATTGTTTTCCTTTTTTAGCATACGCAACTTGTTATTCATAAGTACAATGTCATACACTTTGCAACACCGATATTTTTCGTATGGGTCATATGTTCAATCAAAATCTTGTCCATACTCCGTGTGTATTTGACGAAAGCAAACCAGTATGTGTAGATAGTTTGACACTACTGATTTATGTGTGATTTAAGTGGGTGGGTATAGTGATCCATGTTAAGTTCGGGTCTGACATATGATATGTACTCTTCCTATGTGGCCACAATGCTTGGCAGGACTAATGAGAATCAGGAGGTTAGGCATTTGAGAACTTTTTCATTTTGATTTACAACCCTTCAGTAGTTTGTATTTAATATGCAGCAGGAGGATCAAGTCTTCATCTATCAACGAGGGTTAAGTTTTAAAAACCCAAGCAAAATGAATCAGTTCCGCCGTGATGGCTGATCTCCAAAGCTTCTATGATCGATATACATTTGTCTTGAAAACCATAATGATATTTCATAATTGACATGAATATATCCAGACTGCCACTAGATCAATTTGTTTTAACATATTTTTTATTCTCCCATACTAATCCTTATTTTTATTGGTACTTGTCTTGTTTGAATTTATTCACCAAGGTGACGTTTCTGGAAGTGGCTGAAAAACTCCGCATATTCTCATGGTTTTTCAGTGGCTCACTATCAGTTCTACCTCAAGTAGGCAGTTACATAAATTTACTATAATTATTATTATTGTTATTGTTTCCTTTGATTCCTAGAGGAACATAGGGCTTCAGCCGCACGTCTCTATTGCGTTCAGTTCTCTGCCAACGTCCTCTTCACATGACCTCACCCATGTCACCCTCGCACTGACGACCAACTCGCCGCTTCCCGTTCGGGTTCCACTCGAGAACTTGTTGTGTGACGTCACTTAATGGTTTTCTCAGAGTATGACCAATCCACCTTCATTTCTTCCTGCATATTTGTTGCGCAATCGGTTCCTGATTGGTTCGCTCCCAGAGATCCCTGTTGCTGACCTTTCCTGGTCATCTCATCTTCAGTATTGAACGAAGACAGCTTTTGATGAAAGCTTGTAGTTTGTTTGAAGTGCCCTTCGTGATGCGCCAAGTGTGTGATCCGCATAGTAGCACTGACTTCACATTAGAGTTGAGAATCCGCATCTTATTTTTCACGCTGAGTGCTGTTGAACTTCACACAAACTTGGGAGATATGAAAGCTTGCCTTGCTTTTCCGATCCTTGCTTTGATATCCTCATCAGTTCGGTCCGCCTGTAACTGAAACGATGCTCCCCAGATCGGTTTCTTCTCTCAGATTTCTCCCATTTATGCTCGGTGATTGTTGTCTGTTGTTGTTGTTGCTGTTGGCCAGGAATCTTCATCGCTTTTGTTTTCTCTATGTTCACCTGAAGTCCTATCTTTGATGCTTCTACTGCCAACTTGTTGCCTTTCACTTGCATATCTTTCAGTTTGTGGGAAATCAGACATATCGGCGAAGTCCAAATCCTCCAAGCTTTTGTGTGAGTCCATCCAGTCTACTGCAATCAGGAAAATCATTAGCGATGGTAGACAGCCTTGTCTTACTCCCGTCTTCATCTCGAAGGATTCTGCTAGTTTTCAGTTGTGGATTAATTGGCATGCAACACTGTCGGACAACTGTTGGATGAGATGTTTAACTGTTAGCGGCACCCCATAATAACGAAGTAGTTGCCAAATCACCTCTCGATCGACGCTGTCGGGGCCTTTTCAAAGTCGATAAAGTTGAGATAGCTGACTGCCATTCCAAGCTCTGTTCAATGATGATACGTTGTGTTGCGACTCGATTGATGCATGACTTGTTTCTCCTGAATCCAGCCTGTTCCGGTCGAAGTTTTTCATCCATGGCTTGTTTGATTCTTTCCAGGATGACGCGGCTTAGTATTTTGCTTGGGATGGACAGAAGCATAATTCCGCGCCAGTTCTTGCATTGACATCAGTCTCCTTTCTTTGGTAGTTTGAACAAGTAGCCTTTCTTCCAATCCGAAGGTACCTTGCCCTCTTTATACACCTGCAGTAGTGGTGTGACCAAGTCCACTGTCGTCTCTGTGTCCATTTTCAATGCTTCTGCTGGGATCCCATCTTATCCTACTGCTTTTCCAGCTTTTAGCATTCTTATTGCCTTCAGGATTTCTATTTCTGTCGGAGGGTTGATGTCCACTGTGTCTGCTTCCTCTGTTGGTATTATTATGCGCGTTGTAGGTGATGGTCGGTTTAGAAGTCTTCTGAAGCCTTCGGCCCAGTATTTCCTTTGCTCCACCTCATTGATGATTGACTTTCCATTGTCATCCTTCACTGGCTTAATTTGTGTTGAACTTTTCCCCGATAGGGACCTTGTTGTTTGATAGAGTGTTGCGATGTCTCCTTTGTCTGCAGCTTGTTTTTCTTCACTTTTCATAGCTTCCTAATATTATCTTTTGCCTTCCTTGGCACTCTTCTTCACTTTTTTGTTCAGTGTATTGTAGCTTGCATTCAACTCCTGTTTTTGTTGCTCGTCGATGCACTGGATAATCTTTTGTTTCACCATCCTTCTCTCTTCTATTAGTCTCCAAGTGTCCGTAGTGAGTCACTGTTTGTCCTGTCTCTTCTTTCTGCCCAGAACTTCCACGCAGGTTTGACTCCACACCGCTTTCAGGTTCTCCCAGTGCTTTTCAACGCTGGTCACTTCACTAGTGTTGATTTGTGTCTTCGCCTTTTCCTTATGGTTGTAGTGAAGATACTCCTTGTATCCTGGTCCTCCCTTTTTTTGAGTGTTGAACTTGGCTTGTGGTCTATCTGAAGCTCCTGTTTCTTTGAAAGTTCTTAATTTGATTTGCAGTGTTCCGTGTACGAGATAGTGGTCTGAGTCAACGTCTGCTCCTCTTCTTACTTTTGTGTCCAGTAGGCTGCGCCTCCACTTCCTTGAGATCGAGATAAAATCAATTTGATTTTCGGTTCGCCCATCTGGTGACACTCATGTAGCTTTGTGGATATCCTTGTGTTTGTGTACGCTGCCACCAATCACTAGTTCATTGAAGGCGCAGAAGTCGGCGAAGAGTTCTCCATTTTCATTCATTTCTCCGACAGGTTCTCTGCCCATGATGAGTTCCCTTCATGTGTTGTCTGGTCCCAGTTTGGCGTTCATGTCTCCCATTAGTATTTTAATGTCACCAACTGGGGTATTGTCCATTGTTGTCTGTAGTTGTCTGTGGAATTCTTCTTTCTTTTGGGGGTCTGCGTTGTTTGTGGTTGTATAGCATTGTATAACTGACACTCTCCTTCCTTTGAAGTTGAATCTGGCGGTCATCATCCTGAGCGAGATCGCTTCCCACCGCATCACTATTGCAGCTTTCAGTTCCATAGAACTTTGTTAATAACCTTGCGTGTTCGCTCTATATCATGATCGAAGTATTTCATTATTATTATGATCATTATCGAAAACGAGGGAGTACTGGGCAGCTGTTTCATCGAAAGTACGCATCACTTTTTTCAGACCCAGAACCTTCCGAGTACAAGTCACTCGACCACTAGCTACTACTGTGACGTAATGATTGGGCTTGCATATCGCAATTACTCAACAAGCTATACTGGTTAGAATTAATGGTCCTGCAAATCCTACTACCCCAGGAAGATTGTTAGGATAGCGATTAGACTAAAAGCAGTTACCGGCATAGTGTAAGACATTTTGCTTTTACACTATGCTGGGGGTCAGTAGGCTGGGGAGTAGGAATGTAACAGCAGTAAGTTGTTTCCCTCAGATGGCCAGTATGCCAACTATTCTGCCTCTCCACTCTGGAGAGTTGGGGTTATAAAAGGTCGACCCCGAAAATTGTACATCCCGACTTACCCTACAGTGGTCCGTAACCGGCGGTAAGTTACTAATACGAACCAAACCAGAACGCCAGTTCTTACAGGCTGTGTGTGACCGGCTTCAAGCAGTTGTTCCCTGGGCTCTACGGTCATGCAACACTGATCCTCTTTCTGTTTCAGGTACCCGAAGAATCAATTAACTTCCAGGGTGTGGGCAGTCAGGAAGTAACAACCGCCCACACACTTCCAAAAGCACATGAAGCATGCTCTCTCGCTTAATTTGAGATGGTGCCACAGAACTGGACTATATTGACTCCTAGCGTAGATATAGGGAGTGAAGTGGTACAGCGTGTTGACGACTTCATTTATTTGGGAAATTGCATCAGGCCCAACGGACTGATCGCTGACGAAATCTCAGCATGGATACAGAAGGCTCGCTTCTCATATGCCAATTTACGCCATTTCTTACTTAGTAGACGTGATATCCGACTATCAGCCAAAGGGCGGGTGTACTGCTTATCAATCCACTCCGTCCTCTTTAATGGCTGTGAGACCTGGCCATTGAGAGTGGAAGGCATGAAAAGATTAGCTGTCTTTGATCATAGGTACCTGCGTTCTATTTCACGTGTGAAGTGGTATAATAAGGTGAGCAATATTGAGGCTAGGCGTCGAGTTCTAGGTAAGCAGGGGAAATCAATCGACGAGGTTGTGAAGTTACATCGACTGAGATGGTTAGGTCATGCGTTACGTATGCCTAGTCATCGCCTTCCTCGACGGGCAATGTTAGATGATATAGGGCCAGGCTGGAAAAGAGCTAGCGGAGGTCAAAAAAAAACATGGCACCAGTCAATGAAATCTACAAAAGTTAGTCTAAGCCACGTAGGAAGGTGTAGACTTCCTGGTTGGGGTCCTCGGGATGGTAAAAACCAATGGTTGGAAACAATTGGTGACATGGCTCAAAATCGTTCTCAATCGCATAGATGCATACACTCCTTGTGACTTATGATTTCCAATGAAACTGTATTGTTCTTCGATATTACTATTCTTTTTGCCTTATATCCCTGCTTACTGTCTCTATTTTGAATTTCTTTTTACTTTCTTCTCTTGCTTTGTGTGCTACCTGGAGTGTGGCGACTCGAACTGCTGAACGTTTTTGCAAAGTTCTACGTTGAGATCAGTCAGTCAGGTTAGAAGGCGAGGGCGTATAACATTCAGCTTTTGAGACGCAATTCTATGGCCCATGAATGCTGATTTCTGCCAATTTGTGATGTTAGCTCCATCACCAACCAATATCATCAGTGGTTCTCTACCTGATATCAATGGGTGCTGAAACTCGAAAAACAAATCAAATCGTTATAAACCAACCCTTGAAAATGATTATTATTATTATTGTGTTTGAAGTGTGTACCTCAGTTACTTGATGAAAGGATAACAATGGCTAGTCAACAATGTAAAATATGGTGCATTATTGGAAAGCTTGCCAACCACGCCTATTGTCTGGAGTTCACTTCTCAGCTTACTCACTCCTGACATCGCCTTGTTTACTAACCAACAGTAAGTCTGGAAAGGAGTGATAGTTTGACGTGAGTCTACCAACCTTACCCGAGGAAAATAACACTACTGCTACTTAAACAATGCAAAGGAATTGAAGAAATCTTATCATTTTATTTTTGGGTTGGATTCTTTGTAATTTGATATTATCTTAGTATTTGAGAAGAAATGGAGGCGGAAGATGTGTCTATCCAAGATACACCAAAGGTATACAATATTAATACGTTGCCACGGTTATTTCGCCCCCTATGATATATATATATATATATATATATATATCCAATCTAGGCGTGTCCAGCATTTCTGTCGTAGGTAACTTTTGAGCTATTGAAATTCTTTATTTTCAAGTTGATTATTCGCAGCCATCCTCCCTTTATTATTATTATTCCCCACTGGTTTGACATTGTGAAAGTTATTTAAAATTATAAAGCAGTTTAGAAAGTTCAGTGTTGATGTTTGTTACTGGGTCACTTTTTTCATAGATGTGTAAATTGACGATATGGGTAGTCCTCTTCCCTATATTATAGCAGAAATTTAATGTTAGAACAACTACAGAGTTACAATTACCAAATTCCTGTTCATCTCTCAGAATCTATTTAGTTACAATGGATGTTACGAAATCGTTCAATAGATGAGAGTGCTCGTGCAACTGTTGGCAATTACGTTTACTTCACATCCTTGGATTCGAAAACTGACTAACCGAGTTTTCATATAGAACTTTTCACAGAAGAGCAGCAGTTCAGGTAGCCACACTCAATGTAGCCTACAAAGGTGGAGAAAAGAGGGAAAAGAGATTCAAAAGAATTATGACGAGCAGAAATGTGCAGTAGAAAGAATAGTAACATGGGAGAACATGAGGGTTAAATGGACATAGCAGATCACAAAGAGTGAATGCATTTGTACCGTTGAGAAAGATTTTTAGCCATAGTGCCGACAGTCTCCAGCCATTAGTTCCTGAGGACCCAGTCTAGCGCGTCTACACCTCGCTACATGGCTCATATCAACTGTCCAAGACTTCATGGATTGATACCAGGTTTGAGTTTGATTACCCCTAACTCTTTCTCACCTCGGCCTTTTGTCAACTAGCATTGTTCATCGATGTAGGCAGTGTTTGGGAATCCATAGCACATCCTAGCCTTCTTAACCAATTTAGCTTCACAACCTAATCAATTAGTCTCCCTTAATTAACTAAAACCCTGCCCCTAACCTCAATATTGCTCATCATACTGTACCACTTAACGCGGGAGATAGGACGTAAACATTTATGGTCAAAAATGGCTAGGCTTTTCATATATCCCTCTTTTAATGATCATGTCTCAGAAATAAGGGAGAACAGAGTAAACCGTTGCATAGTGCGCACATCTTTTTGTTGGATAGTCGAATATCACATCTACCCCAAGGATGGCGTAAGTTAGCAAGTACCACACGAGCCCTTTGTATCCATCCTGAGGTTTCTTCAGCAATCGGTGGTCTATTAGAGCCCTCAAATAGGTGAAGTGGTCAACACGCGCAACCACTTTACAAGCCTATCTTTAAACTGGTAGTCGGTGCAGGTCAATCCTGCAGCAGCATCTTATATTTGACAAGAGCAAATCGCGTACCAAACACTCGAAGACTTTTTAGCTTTGAATGTAATAATGTAGATTATTGAAATGGAATAGTTTGACAATATTGTCACAAGTCATGATTGCAAAAGTTTCAGTAGTGATGATCATTTCAGTCTTCAGTTAGCAGAAAAGGTAACTGATAGCGATTCATCGTTGTTGTTGTTGTTTATTTTATGCTGTGGGTAAATAAAACGATAGTTAAATTTTTATTGGCAAGACATGATCTGTTTGCAGTCTGATCATATTCCAGCAGGTAATAATTTAATTTGAATAAAAGTTTTATGTCTGATATATATGTATAAAATTGGTAATACAGTCTTTATCAAGAGCTATATAAATTTGATAAAAGGTGCAAAAATCATTATGGAAAATCAATCTTCAGGATTTCAACTCTGGTGTCTATTCCCTTAGCTTTTTGTATACTTTGTGCCATTTATTCGTTCTGCGACGTTTGAGAAGAAGTAATTAGAAAAACACTGTATGAAGTGATATTGTGGTTGGAAGATAAGTTATGTTGAGGGA